TCAAATATTTCACATAATTCACATATTCTAACATAAAAACTTTCCAGCTACGCGCCCGAACTGTGCACGCCAATCGAGGCAACTAAAAGCAAGATTTTAAAGGCCTCGAAAGCGCACAACAAGGAAGAACTACGGTGATGCCCCTTTGGGTTGTCACAGTTTTTCCATTAAAGATCTCGGAAACCTTAACTTTTTTCTCGGAGTTGAGGTGCTTTGTGTTGCAGATGGAATTACTCTATCACAATCCAATTACATCAGTGAAATCCTCTATGAAGAAAATATGAAAGACTGCAATTCCGCAAAAAGTCCAATGAGTTCCAGTGAAGTGCTTCAACAAAATGATGGAGTGGAACCAACTGATGCCACTCGCTACAGGTGAGTTCTTGGAAAACTATAGTACTTGTCTTTCACTCGTCCGGGCATAAGTTTCTCAGTGAACAAATTGTCTCAATTTATGCACTCCCCATCTAAACTACACTAGAAAGCACTCAAACGAGTACTCAGGTATCTTCAAGTAACAATTCTGTTTGGTCTTCGCATTCAAAGAGATAACGATTTCAAGCTACGCATGTATTCGGATGCGGATTGGGTTGGAGATGCAAGTAATCAAGCCTCCTACTAGTTACATACTGTTTTTTGGCCAAAATCCTGTGAGCTGCTCATCCAGGAAACAAAGAACAGTTGCTCGCTCATCAACCGAAGCAGAGTATCGAGCAGTTGCAAGTGCACTTGCTGAAATAAATTGGGTGATGAATCTGCTAAATGAACTACATGTTTCAGTTCCACAAGCACCAACCATTTACTGTGACAATGCTGGTGCAACTTATTTATGCGAAAATCCAGTCTTCCATAGCCGCATGAAACATATTGCGGTGGACTTTCACTTTGTTCGCAAGCAAGTCCAACAGAATCAAGTTCGCATTGTTCATATTCATACTGTAGATCAGCTCGTGGATACCTTCACCAAAGCGCTACCAAAGCCAGCCTTTGACAGACACTTATTCAAGCTAGGCGTAGTTACACACTGCCTAACTTGAGGGGGGCGTATTAGAGCATAAGTTAACCATCAACTACTTTACTGCTTTGACCAAGTCTTTAGCTAGTAGTTAGGATTTTGTTATTCCTTTATCTTCTCAAATAAATCTCCTTATTCAAGGAGTTTGTTTAGCAAGTAGTTTAGTCCTCCTCTTCCAGAGGAGTTAGTTTATGGAATTGGTTTGTCACTCTTGTATTTAAAGGGCTTTGATTCAATAAAGATATCAGCTACTAGTGTCTCTCTTGTTCTTATAGATTTGACAAGTTCTTTTAGTTATTAAACTCGGAACAGAACTAGCAGAAAACTCAAAAAAGAAACCCAACATACATATTAGAAAGTGTATCTTTAGCTCTCCAAAGACCACGTTTATATAGGCGTTGCTCCAACAGCTAGATAACGGCTAGTTTGACTCTATAATGTAAAATAATTTACTAACTAATAAGTAAATGTAAATAACATTTCAAAGAGAAAATATTTTTCAAACCAAGATGAACAATACCTTTTGAGATATCACTAATTATAAAAAAAAAAAAAACAGAGTTAGTAAGTTTCTTGTGGTCCTCGTGTAAGAAACCATCCATTTGACAGTAAATAAGATTCAATACTGTCAAAGATGGGGGAAATTTTAGCCATTAAAGTGTGCCAAACCTATGTCATACATGTTGATAAGAAAGTGCAAATGGTTAATATTATATGGAAATATCTCCCCTTGGAATCTAATACTCAAATATCTATATCTCTTGATCTCTCCCAAAACAAAATAGTTGAAGTCACACCAATTCTTTTTTAGAATTTCACTGTTCAAAGGAAAATAATCCAGTATATTAAAACAATTCCATTTGTCAAGTTCATTAATATTTCCAGCTTTAACTTAGTATGAGAGGAGATTCCACATATCTTATTTAACAACTTTAAATGGTTTATTCACTGTTCATTTTCAATTGATAACCATTCATGCTATTTGGTTTATTGTTGATTTACTTTTATCGTATAGGATATCTATGGATAATGGTGATAAAAGTTGGATGAATCTTCTGAGATAGACGGATGTGTATATCCGTGGAGTGAATGATTTTCTTGATAAGGCATTTGAACGAGCCGCCCAAGGAAATGAAATATTATGCCCTTGCAAAAAGTGCATGAATCACTATTGGTATTATATGAAATTTTATGATTATTTTTGTTTATTTCCTTTATAAAAATTATTCTGACATGCTTCAATTTTTGCAGGATTTGAGAGAGATTTCGGATACTTTTGTTCGGTTGTTGAGGCCCGTCCCTTCTCCCACGTCCTCTTTGGTTTAGTTGGTAATTTCTATCCTCCATGAAATTATAGCAATATTATAGCCTAATATGATATTTGGTCGTCACTCTCACGCGGAATGGCTTAGTTCATTCACATTATTCATTCAACTGGCATCCATTTATCTGCTCCCTATCATTTAGATTTCAATCTGTAGTAAGTCACTGATTTGGTGAGAAGTTGGAATTCTCCAGATCTTCAGAAGTTGTATGTCTTCTTAGAGCTTACATCCTCTGGCCACAAGGTTTGTTTTAATCTTCATACTTAGATATTCCATTTTATGATCCATTTGGGGGTTATTGCTCTCTTGGTTTACTGCAGTCTTTCCTTGATTTGGTGCTTCAAATTCTTTTCAAATAGAAATTGGAGACCCTGCATATACTGAAATAGCTGTTTTATTCTGGCATAGTGAACTTGGAGCTGGACTTTTCGTCTATAGTAGTTGATGTCATTGGAACCCTAACTACTTAATGGATTATGTTCCAGTACTACTGGAATAGGGTCATTATTCTTCTGAAGTGTCAACTCATCTCTGATTGATTGTCTTTGTATTTCAGGTTGAAGCTGAAGAACAGCCCGAGATATCTGAGTTGTACTCTGTTTCTGTTGTTCCTTACTTTGTCTTCTTCAACGTAACTCACATGGGAATTTGCTTTCCTTGTCCATGTACTGTTTGTATATCTGCTTGTGTTTGTAAACCTGAGAGAAGGAGTTAACATGCATAGACAAAGAAAACCTTATATGTAATACTATTGACAACCTTATAGTGCTCCAACTTATATAATGCAGTCCGGAATACTAAATGGTTAGAATTAGGATTATTGATGCCTTCCTTTTGTTTATCCTTGCTACCTGCCACTTGCCACATATGGGTATGCTGATTTGAGATCCACAGAGTTGGATTAAATTAGGATTTTGTTCAAGGCAATCTATGTAATTTTACCTTGTTTGGGTTGTTTGTTTACGCTCAAACTTAATTTTTGTTGAATTATTTATTTTGTCGTTTTCACTTGATATATAGCATCAGATGCCTATACAATATGTTGAATTAAGCACTTTTCTTATCTCTTGTTGGAGGTGTTTTGCGGGGATCAGGGTTAGAGTAGGAAAATACCTGAAAAATGGATGACAAAAAGAATTGCATTTTGGCTCTATATAGCAAATCTGTTAGGCAACAGATTGATATTTAAAGAATCTGTTAGGCAACAAATGGAAGGGTTTATTAGTCAGACACTTAGTGATGGCGGTTACTGATAATGATTGTAGGAAGTATTTAAATGTCTATATCTTCTTGTTATAGATACAGAAGGCACACCAATGACTAGGTTGCTTTAACAAAGAAAACCTTATATGTAATACTATTGACAACCTTTATCTTTGGATTGAAATTCAGTGTTGATTTAGGACTAATTTTGAGATGATTAACTACTAGTTTTTGGTTCTTTTATTTTTTTAAAACCAAGTACTCGGATTTAGTTTTGGAAAATTTGGTTTATAAAAAATGATGATGAATAAATATTAGGGCAGATTTAAACAAAATGGATGAAGGGAGAGCAACATTGCCATTTATCTAAAGAAAAGCCCCATATTCTGGATTTAGTTATGTTTTACAAAATCAAATAATATGTTGCCTAAACTCGAAAATAAAATAGAGTAATTGGTATCAGAAAACACACTACCTTTGGTTTCTAAACAAAATAAGCCCGATAATCTTAATACATTAAACTGAGGTTTTTCTATTTTGATGACTTCACAGGAATACTTGAAAATTACATGTAACATCAGCAAAATGTAGGACACTATGACCTATAGTATCACAATTTTCTTGTACAAAGCAATATAAGTAGAAAATTATTGTGCCTCAGTTGTCGCCTTAATGAAGACATCCTCCAAAGATGTGTCAGCCAAACCCCAAGATTGGACAGTAAACTTCTGCTTTGCAAGTTTAACTGTTAGAAATACATACGAAATTTTAGCCTCATCTTTTGGCAGCTCAAATTTCTGGGCAATTCTTGAATGGAAAGTTGTAATTGAGGCTTACAGTACTGTTAAATCTTTGTGCTTGAAGTTAAGGTCGTATGATTAGATCTATCTGTTTGATTCACCTGAAATATACATTCTTCGGGCAGATTTTAGTTGGATGGGACAGCTTGCAAGGGGTTGTGAAGAACTTTTTGGAACAACAACTCTCTTGATAAATGTCTTGAGAAATAGTTTAGTTGAGCAAGAAAATCAGTAAACATGGTCAAGAACTAGACTTGTATAGGTGTGATCCCCTTTTAAGTTTTTAAATCTTGTCATTATATTAGAATATTTTGCTTAAATCTCAAGATAATTCATATGGAGTTATTCATTCAAGCTATCCAATGAGAACTGTACTTGCAACTTTGCTCTCCTGAAATTCTTGAGAATAATGTTTCTTGAATTGATAGTGAAACCTACAAAATTAGAAGTTTTTCTTTTTTAGTTCAAGTGCTCCAAGTTACATGTTCTAATGGACCAGTATATTTTAGAAATGATATACTATGTTTGCTGTTTTTGCTAACCTATATTGTGTTTGCTTTTCAGAATCTAAAAAATATTTGAATAGTCATGAATCAAGAAGGGTGCTCAAGCAAAAATAAGAAAATATCCAACCGCATTCCAGCTAGATCACTTGCATCTTTGCGAAATCAAAGGGTTTTGTCGTTGACAACAAAATGAACCTTCCAAGCTACAAGGTCAAATGCAAATGAAGAATGACAATCAGAAGGTGGATTACCTTCATATTTGCAAAACCAAAAGGTTTCGTCGTTGACAACAAAAACAACCTTGAAAGCTCTAAGGTCAAATGCAAATGAAGGACGATAATCCGAAGGTGGATCTCAGTTGCAAGAACAAGTACAGCAAGTGCCACGGAATTGTACCTCTTCAGCAACACAAGGAGTACATGAACAAGTGCAACAAGGAAATATGGATTCCATCACTCCTGCATCACAGGGAGTACATGAAATTGGTTCTGTTTTATTGTAGCAATTCTGACCATTTGCTTTTCCCCAATCTTCTGCCCTGCCATGTTATGTTTGAAATGTTTCTATAGTAAATTAGTACTACTACTAATCAGCTTGTGTAAACCCTAAAGTATTTTGAAATATAAAATCCAACTAGTTGTATACAAGCTCAAAGTCAAGAATAAAAGATGATCCATGACATGATCTCATATCACAGAAGACTTGTTCCTAAATGGAGCTTGACATCACTCAAACTTATTTATTCTTATTTTTTATGGACTTTCCATTCCACCACCCTCCGTTTCAGTTTTAAAAAGAAACAGAAAACTGCATGAATATGACAGTTTGTTTCCATTTTCCTAGTTAAATTTTGGTACATTCAAAGATGCAATTAACATTTTCTATTAGAAAGGGTTGTTGGGGTGCTAAAGCTGGAATAGTTCTTCAGAAATGGCCAACGCATTTGAAAAAACGATGAGTCAATTATGCTGCTTATGGACTATAGATTTTAGCACACCCGTTAAGAAATATAATTCCCTTAAAGATTGTCAATTAAGTATAGACTAAAGGTAGCATCTGCTTAAAGGGATTTAAGGTGGTGTTTCTTTTAGAACCTGAAGAAAACTATCCAGTTCTTTGGTTTGAAATCTGATAGTTGTTGTGATAGTACTTAATCAAGCAAGCTTTAATAGTATGAGTGTAGTCTTGGGTCTTGATGTGGGTAATAGGCATAACTGTTGGTTGCTATTGGTTAACTCATTTATTTGCAGAAAATATCCAAAACCAATATAGAGAATCGAAATAAGTTGAAGTGTCCGCACACTGCTGGTAGAACACCTTTTGCTCTAATTCGCGAGGTTTGATGTTTTATCTTTCTTTTTTTTTAAATTATGAACTTGCTAACTTTATATGAAAAAATTCTTATACCTGTTTTTAAGTAACTAGAAAAAAACAAAGGAAATCTCTGATACTTCAGATACTCTATCAATTAATGACATCTTTGTGGCTAAAAGAAAAAGAAAACTTGGCTGAGTATACAAAAGCTCATATAACAATGGGATTAGTAAAATTGTACGAAATTTCTAATTTAAAGTTTGTCATGATTATTTATTTGTTCTTAATTATTGATTCAATTTTAGTTACTTAAAACTCTTTTCTCTCGTATTTGGTTTGTAGGCTTGTGACGACCCGGCAAGTCGTCTCATGAGTTACCGCTCCGTTTTCCCCCATTTCAGCTTCTTTATGCTTCGTATCCGTATTTTATGTGATCGGGTTGATTAGTTTGAGTTCGGAGAGGATTTTGGTAAGAAGTGAGACACTTAGTCTCTTTTAAGAAGGCTTAAGTTGAAAAAGTCAACCGGATG